CACCGATGGAAAGCAGGCAATGGAAACCGACTTCTGAAATCTTGCTAAGAAAACTGCAGGGACTAGTCCAGGCAGTCGCCAGGTGTCAACACTGACTCAAAGGGAAAAGAAATAATAAAAACTGAAGTACTGCCCAACTGATGAAAGGGTGGCAGATATACTTACCAAGCCGCTGCCCACGAACCTCTTCCCCATGCTGAAAGAACCATTGGGACTCAGAGCATGAAATGATGCATGGTGGTACAACCCATTATAGTGCACAATTCAGTGCATGCGGCTGATAAGAATGTTGGCTACATTATTTCCATCCGCTAATTTTTCCCTTCATGGAGCAGAATAGAGGAGGGATCACCTGGTGTCCTACTTTCCATTTCTATTCTGCTGCCCTTATGTATCTAAAAGGGTTAAAGCTGGAATAATCCAAGGCTACTCCCTTTGGGACTGTCCATACTAATTACCCCCAGTATGTTTCCCAGCAATTCTGGAAAGTTCTGTGCCTTTAGGTAAAGAGATATAGATCGTGCGGATTCTTGTTATTAAATCCTCTGACCTTTTATCTGTTTCCTGTTTATATTTCTCTACCTGCTTTTGACTGCCATTTGTCCTGTTTTGCCAGTTACCTGGTTGTGTTGTTTGCTCACATTTAATAAATAAACATCCAGCTATATTTTTGCTAGCTGCGCTGAGCAACCTGCATGTTTGCTCTGATTTGACTATAGGAATTAACGGAGTTTGCTGAGGACAAACTAAACCAGAAATTATCCTTAATAATTTCCCCACAAGTTTGAGACTGTGAAAGAAATCTTTGATTCTTGAACATTCATATCAGAGAATTAATGTGCAGTTATGGGCTCCTTGTCTTTCCTGTCTTTGAAGTTGTGCAAATGTTTGTATTATTTGATGTACATGCTGATGAAGGATGGATCAAGTTACACTGATATTCTCTATATCAGGTTTTTCAAACTTTTTCGGGCCATGGAACCTGTTAATTTTAAAAAACTTCCCAGAACCCTTGATCAAGAGGCAAAGCTGTAGGTATAGAACATTGCCTGTATTCAAATGAATCTCCCCCCCTCCAGTCTTTAATGGAACCCCCATTAAGTTCTGCAGAACACAGTCTGAAAAACACGGCTCTATATTGCTGATGAAGATACCTGGTCAAAATGTTTTAACACAGCACAAATGACCAGGCTCAAATTATCCTACTTTGGACACATTATGTGAAGACCCAGCTCTCTGGAGTAGGCTTTTGTTCTGGGAAAAGTGGAAGGAAAGAGAAGAAGAG